GATAATTTTTCTTCCAAAAAAAAGTGAATCAGTGAGTTATAAATTTGATAAATGAGTCACAATGGTCTTGTAACCAGTGGCAGATCTAGGAAAAAATATTTGTGGGGGTATAAAATGAAAAAATCAAGTTAAAAGGGCTGGTAAAGGTTTGGATTTAGTGAGGGACAGCTGAAAGATTTTAACCGACTATGCTATAGAATTATAGACAATTGCTATGTACTTTAATGTTACTTATAGATTTTCATGGGGCAGCTGCCTCCATGCTGTAAAGGAGATCCGCCCCTCGTAACAAATAGTCGGCATGAACCCGTGAGTCATGCTTCTCTTTCCCTTTCACCCGTTTTTTCCATATATATCTATACAATTATATAAGAAGTAAATTTGCTTAGTTGTCAACTTCTCATTGATTTTAGGTAAATTTGTTTATTTATCTTATTTAAATAATTTCATATACAATTTATTATTTAATAAAAACGAATTTATATTTTAAAAAATATGTTAATTATTTTGTATTAAATTGTTAGCTTAAAAATATAGTTTTCTATTATAAAATTCAAGTGAATTTACTGATTGATTAGTAACTTCTCCATTATTTTTTTTAAATTTTGATTATTTGTTATATTTTTAATAATTTTATGAATCATTTATCATATAATAAACGAATTTTTATCAATAATAGTATACTTTTTAGAAAATAAGATAATTCTTATGTATTATATTGTTATCTTTAAAATATATTTTTTCATAGAAATTAAAAATTAAGTTAAAATATTAATAGTTAAATATAAAGAAAGCAATGCTGATTTATCAAATTTTCCATGGTTTTATATTTTACTTATTTATTATATTTTAATAGTTTCATATATAATTTATTAAATAATAAAACGAATGTATACAAATAATACTAGATTTTAAAAAATAATAATACTAGATTTTAAAAAATAAGATAATTCTTATGTATTAGATTGTTATCTGCAACATATATTTTCTATTAGAAATTTAAGTGAATTATCTGATTTGTAATTTCTCCATGATTTAGATAATTTTGATTATTTGTCATATTTTTAATAATTTCATATAAAATTTATTAAAAAATAAAAAAGAATTTATATAAAAATTATATTTTGAGAAAGTAAGATACTTCTTATGTATTATATTTTCATCTTGAAAATAAATTTTTATTATATAAATAAAAAATTAAGATAAAAAATTATAATTAAAATAAATTAAAGCAACACATTTGTAAAAATATATTTTAAAAAATATTTTGTTATGTGAGTGTTGTCATTTATAATTAATTTTAACACATAAATCATAACTTATTATATTGATTTGAATTAATAAAATATAGACTAATGAAAAGTTGTACAAAAATTATGCCCGCATGTGCGGGCAAAACACCTAGTATACTATTATTTAAGAAGTAAATTTGCTTAGTTATCATGTTCTCCATAAATTTAGGTAATTTTGTTTATTTACCATATTTTTAATAGTTATATATAATTTATTTATAAATAAAACGAATTTATATGAATATATCATATTTTTAAAAAAATAAGATAATTCTTGTGAATTATGTTGTTATCTTGAAATATATTTTTATTATAAAACTTAAATTTTAAATTAAGATATAAAACATATTTATTTATTATATAGCTAAAACGAATTTCTATTAATAATTTTTATATCTTTCTAAAATAAAATAATTCTTATGTATTATGTTGTTATGTTGAAAATATATTTCCTATTATAAAACTTAAAATTAAGATAGAAAATTATATTATTAATAAATAAATCATCAAAAATAAATTTGAAAAGTGAATTTGTTGATTTGTCTCCATAATCTTAGGTAATTTTGATCATTTATCAGAATTTCTCTAATTTGTTTCTTATTGATTATATAATTAAGACTAATTTATATTAATAATATGATATTTTAAAAAATAAGTTAATTCTTATGTATTATGGTGTTATCTTGAAAATATATTTTTCTATTATAAAATTTACAATTAACATATAAAAAATCTATACTATTATTAAGAAGTGAATATGATGTTTGTGGATTTTAGGTAATTTTGATAATTTAGCATAATTTATATAGTTTTATATATAATTTAATATATAGTTAAAACAACTTTATATTAACAGTATCAGATTCTTAGAAAATAAGATACTTCTTATGTATTAAGTTTATGTCTTAAAAATTATTTTTCTGTTAGAAATTTAAAATTAAGATATAAAAAGTTATAGATTGAAATAAATTTACACTAATAATATTATACTTTTAGAAAATAAGGTAATTCTTATGTATTATGTTGTTATCTTGAAAATATATTTTTATATTATATAATTTAAAAATAAAATAGAAAATTATTTGTTATTACTTAAATACAAATCATCACTCAAGAAAAATTATTTAAAAAGTGAATTTGCTGATTCATTAAGTTCTCCATGATTTTAGGTACTTTTAACTATATATCATAATTTCTATTAATAGTATTAGATTTTTATAAAATAAGATACTTCTTATGTTTTATGTTGTTATCTTGAAAATATATTTTTATTTTATATAATTTAAAAGTAAAATAGAAAATTATCTATTATTAATTAAATATAAATCATCACTCAAGAAAAGTTATTTAAGAAGTGAATTTGGTGATTAATTAAGTTTTCCATGATTTTAGATAATTTTAATTATATGTCATAATTTCTATAATCTTATATAATTATTATATAATTAAAACAAATATATCTATACTATTATTTGGAAGTGATTTTTCGCAACGGAGCTCACGTTAAAAGTTGGGGTGGTTAATATCGTTTATACCCTTAATGGATAAAATATATAAATCAGCCAAAAAAAAATAAATTTATATTTTTTGATTAGATAAATGATTTAAATTAATAATAATGATATGAATTATCCATAATCTAAATATATATTTAAAGATAAAATAAAAAGATAATTCCTATATATATTGTGTTGTTATCAGAAAAATATATTTAATTAATATATAATCAACCATAAATTAGAAACAAATTTCACTGATTTGATGATTATTATTATCTAAATATAGTTGATATTAATAAACCATAAACTAAAACTGAATTAATATATAAGTAACAATAAATTAATTATATTTAAAAAGTGAATTTGCTGATTTATCATATTCTCCATAATTTTATTTAATTATACTTATTTATCATGTTTTATGATTTTGACTAATGATTAATTATTACCCTTAATTAATGACTAATTAAAATTATTATTTTATAATTATGAACCGTATATTAATTAGATTTACTACCCTTAATGACAAAGCAAACATAAACTTAATGACTAACTAAATTTATTACTATATAATGACTAATAGTTATTACTAGTTGACCAAAAAAATGATTTATTACTATACAATAATTAAACAATTCAATATATAATTAAACATAAGTAAAAACGAATTTCAATAATTTTAGATTTATCTTTATATAAAACTATTTTATATTGGGTTATAAAATCTTTATTAACCTTGAATATAATTATATTTTTAGTAATATATCATTAATTATAAATTAAAAATGAATTTCATTTATTTGATAATGATCCTTATTTATTTTTTTATATTATGTCTTTATCAACATTGAAAAATAATTATATTTAAAATAATTATATTTGTTAATATATAATTAATTCTAAATTAAAAACGAATTTCATGAATTTGATAATTATCATTATCTATTTTTATAATTGTGTTATAAGTCTTTATTAACCTTGAAAAATAATTATATTTGTTAATATATATTTAGTTATGAAAAAAAATAATTCGCAAAGAATTTATGTATAGATAGTTCACATTACTAAAGATAATTTTATTATATTTTTTATTATGTCTAAAAATGATATAAATTTATTACTAAATATTTTTAATTTATGAGTATTTTCACATTTAATTTGTGTATGGCAATTATTTATATGATGATGAAAAAATTTATATATAGAAAAAAATTATTAAATATTTTGAGTGTATGAACAATAATTTATTATTATTTACTTAAATTGATTATATTTGTTTATATATATTAGAAAATTATTAAGTCTGCAAGTGCGGACAAAACACCTAGTTTTTAATTATATATTTACATGCCGCGGATCATGGATGAAACGAATATGCATATGACTTTCGGGAAATACTACTTATTTTATTTGTAATATCAGCTCTTGTTATTTTTACTAATATTTTTTGAATTTTAGCTACTGCATTGTAGTATATTTTGGTCCACAAGAAAGAAAAGATTCTATGACCAAAAAGAACATGCCTCAAATAATTCACAGATACAAAAATATTGATATGATAAAGTAGTAATAATTATTTGTTATTTGGACAACATAATAGTGAACTGTCTTTTTCACAAGTAAAGTCCAAATCTATATCCATCGTACACAGATATTTCACTTTCTGGTGTTGTTCGTGTCACCACACACTCAAATGGTTACAGAAGCTTCACAAAAGTCTAGATATTCTTTAATTACCACAAACTGACTTTTAATTCAAAAATAGGAATCTCGTTTCTTTAATGACATAGTATCAAAACGATTTGTTTCTTTCTTAAACACGCAAATATTTGTGGTTTTATCAGGTAACGAAAACAAATAAATATGCTATCTTTTCTCACTAAACTTTGATTTTTTCTTTGATTTTTTTTTCTCACGCAAATATATATATATATATATATTTTTTTTTTTTATGCTTACAAAAAAAAAAACTTTGATTTTTTCAAAAGTCATGCATGGTCATTCAGTTAGAACCGTGAAGGAAGGAAATCGTTACTTTCCAATGTTTCCATTAATGGCAGAACTTAATAAGTATAAAATTTCATAAATATATAAAAAAAATAACAAAAAATCGACGACCCTTCATGCCTTATCTCTGACGTGGCCATCACTCTCCAGATATTTCATCTTCTTCTAATTTAAATATTCAACAGCCACCACAGTTTCACTTCACCACCTAAAAACAACCTCTCAAAAAATGGCGTCCATCACCTCTACTCTCTCCCTCTCTTCCACCAAACCTCAGCGTCTTTTCGACTCCTCTTTCCATGGCTCATCCATCTCCTCCGCCTCTCCCATCTCCGTCGGTCTCAAACCACGTTCCCTATCCGTCCGCGCCACCGCTGGTTACGATCTGAACGCCTTCACTTTCGACCCCATCAAGGAGTCCATCGTGTCTCGCGAGATGACCAGGAGGTACATGACTGATATGATCACTTACGCCGAGACCGACGTCGTCGTCGTTGGTGCTGGATCCGCTGGACTATCGTGCGCTTACGAGATCAGCAAGAACCCTAACGTTCAGGTTGCAATCATTGAACAGTCTGTTAGTCCTGGAGGTGGCGCTTGGCTCGGTGGTCAGCTTTTCTCCGCCATGGTAATGTTTTAACCGAACTCTCTTTATGTTACGAGGTTGTTATATAGTGTTACAGTACTTAGATTGACTTGCATGTCACTCTATTGAGGAAACTAGGGTTAGGTTTAATGATTTTTTGTTCAAGGAAGGTCATGTTTATTCAGGTCCGGATTTGACAAAACACAGATGAAACATTCTTCTAAGTTCCCAGATATTAAAGAACTATTATATTTTAGAAAAAAAAAACTGTTTCACTAATATACAGTTTTACTGTTTCAATACATTATTTAATGATAAATTGTTGTAATGGTGTTTCTTGAAAATTTTTATTGGTCAAAAGTTTTAGAAAATAGTTAACTACAAAAATTGATGTATTGATAATCAAAATTTATTATATTTTGAAAATTCTAAACGTAGATCCTTTTAAATAGGAGAGAGTATATCTTTAGATTGCATATCTTTAGATTGTACTAGTATATATAAATCAATAATTATTTTAATATAATTATATCCTCACAAATATTTATTTTGGCGTTTGACAGATTGTGCGCAAACCAGCTCACTTGTTCCTTGACGAGATTGGTGTAGCGTACGATGAGCAGGACAACTACGTCGTGATCAAGCACGCTGCTCTCTTCACATCCACCATCATGAGCAAGCTTTTGGCTCGTCCCAACGTCAAGCTCTTCAACGCTGTCGCCGCTGAGGATCTGATCGTGAAAGGAAACAGAGTTGGTGGTGTGGTGACTAACTGGGCTCTTGTGTCGATGAACCACGACACACAGTCTTGCATGGACCCTAACGTCATGGAAGCCAAGATTGTCGTGAGCTCGTGTGGTCACGATGGTCCTTTTGGAGCCACCGGTGTGAAGAGGTTGAAGAGCATTGGGTTGATCGACCATGTTCCTGGGATGAAGGCTCTCGACATGAACACAGCTGAAGATGCTATTGTGAGGTTGACTAGGGAGGTTGTTCCCGGTATGATTGTGACCGGTATGGAAGTTGCTGAGATCGATGGTGCACCAAGAATGGTGAGTTTTTTCCTTTCTTTTCTTGACCAATATATGATTTAATATCAACATTTCAAGATCGAAAACCTGAATGAATATGTGATGGCAGGGACCAACATTCGGAGCTATGATGATATCAGGACAGAAGGCAGCACATCTTGCTCTGAAAGCTTTGGGACAGCCTAATGTTATTGATGGAACCTATGTCGGAGAGCTGAGCCCGGAGCTTGTCTTGGCAGCTGCTGATTCAGCTGAAACCGTAGATGCTTAAGGACAATGTTTTTTTTTAACTAAGAAAATTTCCCTTGAGACTTCTGATGTGGAAGGAGTTGCAATAAAGGAGGAGTTTAGTTGTTTTAAAATTTGTGACTATCTATGTTATGAACTTTTCTGGTGTCTTTGTTTCTTCCCAATAAAAAGTGTTTCTTCGGTGTAATAATGTACCTTGTTCTTCCATCCTTTATTGGTTTTACTAGAGGACAACACCTCACTTAGCCTGGTCTGCTTTACTTCTTGGCATCTTCTGTTTCGCTCAGTCTGTTTCTCTCTCTCTTTGCTCTTTGCTTTCACTTTGGTTTCCGTAGGAAACAGAGAAAACTAGAGGCAAAGAAACAGTTATGCTCTGCCTCCTTATTTCAATTAATTTGTTATACCTAGTTTAATCTTTATTTACATAAACCGACCTAATGTATATTATCTAACGTAGAGAATGAATGCAAAGATTATAAGAACACACTTCTTATTAACTTAAGAAAATCTCTCAAAACTTAAGCTCTCACAAGAATCTTTAAACTCAAACTCATAAGTTCATGGCACACCTCACCATCTTCTTATATAGATTCTAAAACTTCCTAAACTCACACAATAGAAGTTTTCCTTTTTTCTCATAATCTTAACTTTTTAGTATTGCTTGGTCTCCAAGTTATTTCCATGTCTATCTTCAAGTTTAATTCCAACAATCTCTCCTTTAAACTTGAGGTCTTCATGATCCATCTCTTGAACTCCAACTAACTCTCTCATCTCTTTGAACTTTATTCTTCCCAATGCCTTGGTGAGAATATCTGCTTTTTGAAGATTTCCAGCAACATGTTCGACCATCACTTGATTATTGTCAATGCACTCTCTTATGAAATGATAGCGTTTGTGGATGTGCTTACTGCGCCCATGAAACACTGGATTTTTTGTAAGAGCAATAGCAGACTTATTGTCTATGCGAACTACTACTTTCTCACTCGGTCTCTCCAAGACTTCAGCTAACAATTCCTGCAACCAAATGGCCTGTTTTGCAGCTTCAGTGGCTGCCATAAATTCTGCTTCACATGAGGATAAGGCCACTGTTTCTTGTTTCTGAGAGCACCAAGTTATAGGACAGTCATTGAGATAAAACATGTGACCTGTGGTGCTTCTCCCATCGTCTTCATCTACATTATGACTACTGTCACTATAACCCACCAAAGTCGTCTTACTTGATCGCTTAAAGTCCAGACCATAACCACATGTTCCTTTTATGTACCGAAGAACATGCTTCAAAGCAGTGGCGTGTATCTCCTTTGGTTCCTGCATATATCTGCTCAACACTCCTACTGAGAAAGACAAGTCTGGTCGAGTGTGTGTAAGGTACCGAAGACATCCTATAGCTCGCCGATATTCTTTAGGATCTGTGTCTACTTCTTCTTGTGCCTTCGAGAGCTTTAGACTTGCATCCATTGGTGACTGAGTTGCATTACATTCAGCCATGCCCGTTTGCTCCAAAATCTTCTTCGCATAAGCCTCCTGTTTCATCTTGATTCCACCGTTGTATTGTAAGACTTCTATGCCAAGATAGTATGTCAATAATCCTAGGTCACTCATCTCAAACCTCTTGGACATGTCTACTTTAAACTCGGTTATCATCTCCATATTTGAGCCTGTAATCAACAAGTCATCAACATATACTGCAACAACGAGAAGATGACCATCCTTCTTCCTCCTATATAAAGATGGTTCCTTTGTGCATTTATCGAAGTTTAGCTCTCCTAGTGCTTTGTTTAACTTCTCATTCCATGCTCTCGGAGCTTGCTTGAGTCCGTACAAAGCCTTCTTGAGTTTATACACTTTCTCCTCACTTCCTTTAATTACATATCCCTCTGGTTGGCTGACATACACATCCTCCTTTAGGTCTCCATATAGGAAAGCCGTCTTGACATCAAGATGATGTACCTTCCAATCATTAGAAGCCGCCAAACTCAAGATGAACCGTATGGTTTCTATCCGTGCAACTGGAGCAAAAACTTCTTCATAATCTATGCCATGCCTTTGAATGTATCCTTTAGCCACCAACCTTGACTTGTACTTATTTATAGTACCATCAGAGTTTCTTTTGATTTTAAAGACCCATTTGAGTCCTATTGCCTTAGCTCCTTTAGGAAGGTCAACTAAATCCCATGTTCTATTCTTGATGATAGAAGATATCTCCTCATCGCACGCATCCTTCCATATCTTTTCCTCAATAGCTTCCTCAAAATTATATGGTTCTTCATTCAATAACAATAGCAGTCTCTCTCCCTCAAACTCTGATAGATACACATAGTCTTCCAAGTATGCAGGTGTTTTGCGCATCCTAGTAGATCTTCTCACGTCTCCTTGAGTTTGTTCTGTACTTTCAACTCCAAGTGGTAGAACCATGTTCTGTTGTTCGTTGAATTCTTCATCTCCCTCATTGTTTTGATCACTATCTTGATCATGTTCTGCACTGTCATCATCTTCCTCATCTTGTAACCCATTGTTGCCATAATCTCCAAAGGTTACTTTGAACTTACCAGGTTCATTCGTGTCGTCGTTTGAGGAAGCACTCCATGTCCATCCTTTGCTTTCGTCAAACACGACGTTTCTACTCACCACTAGCCTCCGGTTTATGGGATCAAAGAGTCTATACGCCTTAGACCCTGGTTCAGTTCCTAAGTGGACAAGTACTCTTGTCCTATCCTCCAACTTCTTCAAGAATGGTTTGTCAATTTTTGCATAGGCGATGCAACCAAAAACCCTGATATGCTCGATGTTTGGCTTCCATCCTTTAAGTGCTTCATATGGCGTCTGTGTTTTTAGTACTCTTGTGGACACTCGATTGATAATATAGGTAGAGTGTCTAACTCCTTCTCCCCATAGATAGTTAGGAACATTCATATGTTTTAGCACGCTCCTAGTCATCTCGAGAAGAGTTCTGTTGCGACGTTCTACCACACCATTCTGCTGAGGTGAGTATGGAGCAGTGAGGTGCCGAGTTATACCTGAGCTTTCACAAAACTGTTTAAATTCATTTGAAGTGAATTCCCCGCCTCTATCTGTACGCAACACTTTAATCATCTTCTTTGTTTCTCCTTCGACCACAGCTTTAAACACTTTAAATTTGCAGAGTGCCTCACTTTTCTCCTTCAAGAGTATTGACCACATGTATCTAGAGTAATCGTCGATAAGGACAAATATATATCTATTATTTTCCTGCAGTGGGAGGACTTATGGGACCACACAAGTCACCATGGATGAGTTCTAATGCTTCTGAAGCTCGATACTTTGTTGCAGTAGGAAACGAGTGTCTTGTTTGTTTTCCAAGCAAACAGGAGACACATGTTTCTCTTTCGATGTTTAAGGCTGGTAGTCCTATCACCAACTGTCCTCTGATCATTGCTCTCATGGAGGTTGCTCCTATATGTCCCAAGCGCGCATGCCATCTAGTAGATTCAGACAGTGCCGTGAGTTGCAGACATTTGTTGTCAACACTATCCATCAAGACCTTGTATAAACGATTTCTTGATCTCTTAGCTTGCCATCTTTATCATGAAGTGTCAGTAGTTCCTCTTTCATGCGAATCTCACAGCCTGACTCAGTAGCTTGACCCAAAGAGATTATATTACTCTTGAGGTCTGGTATAAAATAGACATCTGCCAGTACCTTCTTCTCTCCATTCGGACTGACAAATAGTATTGCACCTTTTCCTTTTATATCGATCCTAGAATCATCTCCAAACCTCACCTTCCCTGTCACAGTTTCATCTATTGCCCTGAAATACTCACGCCGTCCTGTCATATGGTTTGAGGCACCATTATCTAGGTACCAAACTCTGCTGCTGTCGAAGTTGCTTTCAAAGTCTTTGGGATTCATATTCTTCTCATTGAGATAAATCGCTTCATGCATCAGTAGCTTGTCTGCTTCTTGGGTATCATCGGTTTTATTCTCGTTCTCATAAGCTTCTTGTAGCTTCAGAATTCTGTCGGGACAGTTAGACGCAAAGTGTCCATTCTTGTCACAGCGGAAACATGTGATCTTTGTGATATCAAACTGGTAATTCCTTCCACGACCTCTTCCTCTGCCGTAGTATCCTCTGCCGCGACCCCTGTTTCTGTTATCTCCATTGTACGACTGTCCTTGTTGATGCTCAGAGTTAGCATACATCAACTTATTTTGCTCACTCGAACCCTCTTCTTCTTCTTCGTCTTTGATCCTCTCTTCATAGGCCTTTAATCTTCCGATAATGTCTTCAAAACCTGTGGTCTTTAGGTCAAGAAGTTGTTCGAGGGACGCCACTATGTGTATGTACTTCTTTCTAGGAAGGCTCTTGAGGAATTTCTTCACTATCTTTGACTCCTCTATGCTTTCACCCAATGCTGCAGATTTTGAAGTTATTTCAGATAACTTCCCAACGAAGTCATCAATTGATTCAGTCTCCTTCATCTTCAATCTGTCAAATTCTGCCATTAGGGTTTGAAGTCTAGCTTCTCGAACTCTCTCTGCTCCTAGATTACGTCCTTTGATTGCCTCCCAGATTTTCTTGGCAGTGTCCAGCTCTCCAACTTGTAGTACGAGTGTCTCGGGGATAGAGTTCAATAAAAGTGCTATTGCCATGTCGTTTTTGTCGCTCTCTGTGCTCTCAGCCTCTACAATATCCCAGACCTTATGAACTTTTAGAAGATTCTTCATGCGAATGGCCCAGAATGTGTAGTTGCTTGTAGTTAGCATTGGACATGAGATCGAAGAGGATCCCTTCTTTTGTTTTAGCGGTAATAGGGATGATATCACCCATCTCTCTCACAAGTCTCTTGATCTCTGAATTTAGCTCTGATACCAATTATTATCTAACGTAGAGAATGAATGCAAAGATTATAAGAACACACTTCTTATTAACTTAAGAAAATCTCTCAAAACTTAAGCTCTCACAAGAATCTTTAAACTCAAACTCCTAAGTTCATGGCACACCTCACCATCTTCTTATATAGATTCTAAAACTTCCTAAACTCACACAATAGAAGTTTTCCTTTTTTTCTCATAATCTTAACTTTTTAGTATTGCTTGGTCTCCAAGTTATTTCCATGTCTATCTTCAAGTTTAATTCCAACAATGTAGCCCAGGAGGTACACATCTACTCTATTAAAATAGAGTCATTCTTTTTATCTACTGATATAAGTTGTCATTTAAATTTGAATCCTTTCTAGAGTGTTATAAATAATACAATTCATATAGTTGATAGAACCGCATTATTTAAATTAAACCGGTAGTTATTTATGGAATAGAGTTTTGGGCTTACTTTTGTTTTTATGACAAATTATATAGTTTGGGTTTTGGGCTTAGTATTAAAGAAAAACTCAAAAAAAACATTGAATAAATGTTCTACCTTAATGGATCAAAAAATCAATTACTATTTTAAGGTCCAAAAGTATTTAATATTTTAACAAAACAAAATTATATATTATTAATCACTTATTTAAATCATGTACTTTAAAAGACGTTAATATTTTTTTATTTTAAATAACAATCACTCTGGATCAAAAAATCAATTACTATTTTAAGGCCCAAAAGTATTTAATATTTTAAGAAAAAAAATTATATATTATTAATCACTTATTTAAATCATGTACTTTAAAACATGTTAATATATTTTTTTTTTAAATAACAATCACTCTGTCTTGATAAATTTCAATGGTAACTTTTATAATAGTTTATTTTTTATTTTTCTTAAATAATTTACTGATTTTTAAAAAAAAATGTAAAGCAAAACTAAAAACCAAATCTAAAAATTAAAATCCAAAACCAAAAATCTGAAAACGCATGTTATATTTTTGCTTTTGTTTTGTTTATTTACAAAATAAACTATTGCAATTTTTTAAAATAAAAATTGTCATTTTTTCAGTTTTAAATTAGATGTTCGATTCTTTGGGATTTGTTTGTTGGTAATTATGAGTTCATACTAACTCAGCGGATCTAAAAGCTAAAAACCCAAACCAAAAGCTGAAAATCAAAACTAGAAACTTAAAAATTAAAAACTTAAAACCAAAATCTAAAACCAAATCTAAAAATAAAAACTGAAACTAAAAACTAATGAAAGTAATCATCACCAAAATTTTGGATTACTGATTTTATACCAAAACATACTTTAAATAAAGACAAAACTTAATTATAGAAATTTTTAATCAAAAAGAATTTCCGCGCTTTCAAGCGCGGGTCAGAATCTAGTGGTTTGTTAAATGAATATTACAACATGGGTTTGTAGGAATACTGTACAACCAAAAGTTGTTGCGTGTTATCAAAGTAAGTACTCTATGGTGTTGTTTACTGTGAAGAATCCTTGCCCGGATTTTGTGAGTATTACATACAGTATGTAAAAATAAACATACAAAAACGCCACTCATGACTCTTCTCCAATGCTAGCTATTTCTTGGCCTAGAGAGACTTACAGTTCAACAAGGAACAAAAACACAATCACAAAAGAGTTTCTCAGTAGAAACTTTGCGACACTAACAAATCCAAGAGAGAATGAAAAGATTTTAAAAGTTTAATACCTTTTTTAGATTTTTCAGCATCCAAGTTTCCGGTTATGTCGTTTAAGATCTGATCAAAACACATACACAGATTACTCTTTGTGTTTATTCACTGAAAATGGAAGATGTTAAATAGATAAGCCCTAAACCCTGAGATCTCTCTGCACTACCTTAACAATATCATCATGTCCTCGAGCTTCAGTCATAAGCTTAGAATATTTCAAAACACTAGCCACTAGAAAACCGAAATAGGCAAAGGACCTTCTGCGCAGCCGTTTTGCATGTTCTCCCTCGAACTCAGGCTACTCGTACAGAGAATACATCTCCGAGTCATAATCTAATCCCCACATCATCTGCCCATAAGTCTTTATTAGTGTCATGTCACTACAAGAAAACACAAGTTTTACTAGGACGGCTTTGCCTCGTAATTTCCTAGTAAAGGGTCCTTTACTAGGAAATTACGAGGAAACGTGATTTGTCGTGAATCGTTCATCGTAAAGCCGTTTTCCTCGTAAAGTCGTAGTAACCACTTTTCTCGTAATTTCCTAGTAACCACTTTCCTCGTAATTTCTTAATAACCACTTTCCTCGTAATTTCCTAGTAATGCTTTACTAGGAATTTACTTCGAAATGTTTTTCCACTTTCCTCGTAATTTCCAAGTAATGTTTTACTTGGAATTCACTTTGAAATATTTTTCCCTATTAAAAAAATAATTAAAATAAATAGAAATAATATATTTAAAAAAAATAAAGAATCCAAATTATAAATAAAAAAGAAATAACTAAATATTTTATAAATAAATAAATATTTAAGTTTTAAATTCATATACAATTAAAGAGAAAAAAAACTAAACTACGGATGTTGCTCGTTAAATTGACGAACGAAGTCGTCATCCCGGCTCGACAACTAGTATCATTAATATACTAATATCATTTTAAAAAAAAAAACAGTTAAAAAAATAAATCAACCTAATCTAAATTCCCTAAACTAACCACCTAATCTAAATTCCCTAAACTAACCACCTCATCTAAATTCCCTAATCTAACCACCTAATCTAAATTCCCTAATCTAACCACCTAAGTAGGAAATATAGAGAACCTTAAGAGAATTCAGAGAAAAGCTTACTACAAATGAGAAATCGGATTGCTCGAGTTTATATAAGGAATTTTGTTTCCTCGTAAGGCCCTAGTAACATTACTAGGCCTTTACGAGGAAATAGCTATGCCCATGTTTTTATTTCCTCGTAAAGTCCTAGTAATATCATTACTAGGACTTTACGAGGAAACTGCTTTACTAGAAAATAGCTATGCCCGCGTTTTTTTCCTCGTAAAGTCCTAGTAATAACATTACTAGGACTTTACGAGGAAACAACTATGCCCGCGTTTTCTCTTACTAGGGCTTTACGAGGAAACGGTTTGTAAATCCCTAAACTCGAAACCCCAAACCCCAAACCACAACTTCCTTAACTTATAACCTCTTCTACAACCAAACTCCTAACCTCTTCTACACCTAAATCCCAAATTTTAAAAACTAAACAACCTAATATAAGTTCCCTAAACTAACCACCTAATCTAAATTCCATAAACACTAACCTTAAACCTAAACCCTAAATCTAAACCAACTTCCATAACTTATACTTATACATCTTCCTAAACCCCAAATCACAAATTTTTTTAAAAAAACTAAAAGAAGTATACAGTCATCGGAACGGTTTTTATCAACCCCACATAGCTTTCCTCGAACTATCTACCTGAAGAAAAGCTCCAAGCTATTTCTTTGAGGAAAAGCTATGACGAGTTGATAATAAACTATTATGTTGACTGTGAACTCCTTTCAGTTATGAATTGAGTATTTTCTATTTTTTTGGTGTGTTTCAAATGAATCACATATGGTGGTATTTATAGAAATTTTCGAATCCGAGAATTTACTAGGAAATTACTAGTAAAAGTAGGTACAAAATTTAAATTCGATATTTTCTATCTAGTTCCTCTTAATTTCGTAGTAAAAAAACTCATTCCTCCTAATTTCGTAGTAAGCAATTACTAGGACTTTACGAGGAAATGAGTTACTACGGGTTTACGAGGAAAATGACTTTTTCTTCGTAAGGGCCACGTAAGTATACTACGACTTTACGAGGAAACTGTTTTCTCGTAAGTATGCGAGAACCTTACGAGGAAACATGGTTTCCTAGTAAACTCGAAGTAAACTCGTAGTAATTTTACGAGGAATTATTTTCCTAGTAAAGTTTCCTAGTAAATGCTTAGTTTTCTTGTAGTGTGTGTAAGAAACATGTCTCTGAGTTCATAAAGAAACAAAGACAACAACAGTTGCCTCCCAAAGGTGCAAGGAGTCGCAAAAAGACAATTCTCTTCTGAACTGAACCATTATCATCAGAGATAGCCACATCCACCAAGATTCTCTGCATTTCAAGATACACCAATTTTCTTTCAAGATAATATCTGCTAAAAGTGAGGTGAAAAGCTTTCAAAAAGATACCTAAGTGATGGTGAAGCTTAGGGTTGATGATCTGAGTGATTGATTGTATACAAATGTGTAAGCTGTGCTTCAACTCCAACTGATCTTCCCGTGCTCCGGAAGTTTCCTAGCTATCAATTTACTGATGAAAGGCAAAAACAGTTGGAGTGGAGAATGTCAAGTTGAAGACTGAAGAAAGAAGACTTGAATACTGAGACTATAAATAGTTTGTTACGATGGTTGTTAGATCTTATCGAGAAATTACAATTGTGTATCTTAGCATATGAGCTGAGAGCTACTCAGGTGATAGAGTAGTTGAGAGACTCTCTTTGCTGCTGTATTATTTTGTTAGCAATATAGTAGACGCTGCCTTTCTCTAAGCATAATCAAGTGATGCTTCTCAGCAAAGATCACTACTAAACCTGTGAATTTAAGGCAGCACACATATCAATAATAATAGTATTAGCGTTTACCAAAACGCACATAACTCGTACTATATTCTATTGTCTATTATCATATCAAGACAATTAACAACACATAAGCCACCAAAAATCTTACAAATCAAATGAGAAATTCTGCTTTTCTGTCAACACAATCATGAGGATTATAAACTTAGTTAACTAATACTCATCAATAATAGGGTTGCAATTAACTACGTAATCATATCTTCCTCTTTCAAATTGAGTGGTCTTTGGAGAAGCAATGTATCTTTTGACTGGTGAATATGAGCTCGGTTGATCCATCTTCCTCCTTTAAACTTTTCTCCTATTCCGTTTTTGGAAAAACAGAGACGAAGAAGAGTTGCGTTTGTTGGCGGTACAATGTTCTTCTGTTCCAAATTTGATTTCGGTATTTGAGTCGGTTTGGTTTACACCAATATTGATTTTCGTTTCTTTCTCTCTCAAAGGAAAGGTATATATTTTTGAATATTTGTACTTCATACCTACAACATTTACTATATTTGCACTTCATACCCAATTTCCCTCCAATTTTTTTCCCTCCATCTTCACTATTTCCCCCACAATTTTAAGCATTTTCTTAATTATTACATTCTTCTTGTATTTTCAGCCAATTCACCCTATATTTTTTGTTTAATTGTTTTTTTGAATTTTTTTTTATATTTATGTTTTTCTTTTTAATCATATTTAATCATTTATTAATGACACAAGGAATTTAGTGTTTTTAATATAAAAAGTGTGTATAATAAATAGTTAGACCAAACATTTATTAATTGGTCATGTTCCTATTTTAATAGAATACACAATAGATTTTGACATGCAAAGATTTATTTTTCACTTATTGATCCCAAATTGATTTATAAACTATATATATTTTTGTTTCGTCTTTCAACAATTACTTTTTGTATTTTTTTTATTTTTAAAGTGTGATATTTATTCGAAATAGATTAAAAATGATACTTATGATTTAATAATATAAATATTCGATGTTGAAAAGAACATGTTCACACAACTAAAATGTAGTAAGGATATGAATTGTCATTTTTAAATTGAAAATGAAATTCTCCTGTAATATATTTGTATCATAGTTCTAATCATCAATCAACACTATTTTTTTTTATCTCTATTCAAACTAGAATCTACTACTATTTTTGATCTGTTCATTCAATGCGTGGGTATTTTCTTACCATTTTAATAAAGTCTAAAATTTTGTTAGAGAAAGATAATTAAATTTTTTTTTATATTATGATGTTTGAGTTTCAAATTTTTTTTTTCATATATAACGCATATTCATGGTTAAATTGATAGATTTATGACCATCTATATAATCCGGTTCGGATTGAATGAAATCTTTTAATTAAATCTGACTGAACCGATAAGAGATAAGAATCTAAAATGCTATTATTAACCGGTTGGAATTAGTCTTCATAAAAATGATTTGAATCTAACAAGATTTAAAAGAAACTAATATATGGTCTCAAATAAATGAATCTAATTTCTTAGAAAATGATATTCACATAGTCGTATTAATACGATCTCGATGGATTGTAGTCATGAATTTTAGAGTAATTAGGATATAAAATTAATAATATATCGATGTAAAATGATTTATAATGATGAAACTTAGTGGATTTTGTTTTTTTATAAATGAATATTTGGAGTAACATTTTTATCTGAAATTTGTATATATTAGTATTTTTTAATATAATTAAGAATATTAGTATATACTACTACATGAAAAAGATTTGTTACAAATGAAATTTATATTCGTTTCTGTAATTACTGTAAGACGTTTTAAATTGAAGTTTTACATATATAATATTTTATATAAGTATAGGTATCACTACAAGAAAACATGTGATTAACGACTGCATGAACAGTCGCTAATCTGTCGCAAATATGTGTTTGCGACTGAATCACGTAGTCGCAATACTATGCATCATTACAATTATCAGTCTCTAATCAGTCATTATTTTGCGACTGATTTACGACTATTATTATTAATCACAAATCTGTCACAATTTAGTCGGTAAATTTAACGATTAACTTGCGCGACGATTGACATTACAAGTAGATTTAAAAAAATTATTTACAAAATAGAAAAATAAAATTTTTATACTTTTAATTAGTTTATAATTAAAATAGTTTTTACAAAATTAAAATTTTACCGAATGATTTTTATTTATAAATTAAAACCGGTGTGGTTTACAATTATGATTTTTTTACATATGTAAACCAAATTAAAAAAAAAAATCTAAAAAAAAAACAAAAGTATACATTGATCTACTTATCCTTCCCGTTTCATCACTGTCTCTTTCGCCTGCCTCAAGTTTCGCGAGCCTCTTCTACCTTCTTCAATCTTCGTTTGTCTTCTCTTTCTTCCTTTACCCAGAAAAAATAA